GCGAGCAAGTCGCAAAGTCGCACACAAAGCGGAAGTTCGTTCGCAAAGCGCCGCGCTGCAGGCAGACCCGTCTCCTTCGGAGAAGGATTAGGACGCGCGCGCGCGCGTGCCGGCTCGTTTCGTTATTTCGTTACTCGTTAACGCGTGATTCGGTAACAGGAGCAACGTCGATGCCCGATACGAGATACCGGCGTAACGAGTATCCGCGCGCTACGAATGCGGACTTGATTCCTGCGCCGCGACATTCTCGATGAATCACGCTCGGCCAACAAAAGTGTGCGGAGTTACTCGCGCCGTTAATACACATCGCAATTAACCTGACCGGAGGTGGAACACCTTCGCGAGATAATTCGATTCGCCTTCGTGTTTCTTAAGACGCTTAATTGTTCGAGGGACGCTTCGAGAGGAACAGAGAGAGAGAGAGAGAGAGAGAGAGAGAGAGAGAGAGAGAGAGAGAGAGAGAGAGAGAGAAGGGGAGGAGGCGGACGAGAGAGCCCTCGCCGCGAAAGTCCACTTAATGAGATTCGTTCTCAATACAAACACGCGAAATGCGCTGTAACAGGCGGTCGGGACGGGTTCTCGAAGCGAGAGCCGGTAGCTTCGTCTAGGAATCGCGGTCGGGAGAAGCAATAACGACGCCACTACTGCCTTCCGGAAGCGACTGTAAGGACGATCGTACGATCCTCTCTTTCCTCTTCCCTCTCCTCCCTCTCTCTCTCTCTCTCTCTCTCTCTCTATCTATCTTTCGCCCTTAACCCTTACGGCGCTACTACCCTTGGCCTAATCCGCTCGACAGCTTCGGCAAGTCAAGCTCGTCGCTTGAGAATGACGTGCTCGTGAGGACCGCAATCTTACCGCACTCGCGCTGACGTTTCTTCCCACAGGAAAGGACTCCTGCGAGCTCCGCGTATTCAGGGTAACCCCGCCGCGTCACCACATCAGCGCGTCTGATGGATCCTTTGATCAATTCGGGATCGACGTTTCCCCAATGAGAATTTCAAGGGGTTCCCAAGGTCGGCCTGTTCGCGCGTCTTCTCCTCGTCGTTGTATGATAATGACCGCCTGAGATCCTGAGATCCTGATGAAAACTTTGTCAAAGTCTACTCGAGCGAATTTTTCAGCCGCAGAACGCGGTTCTGTCGTCTAGCGCGCATGCTTGGAGATCGATCGCGACGGAACGCTGTTGATTTTCGATCGCTCAGACGAGAGACAGAGAGAGAGAGAGAGAGAGAGAGAGCTGACGTTTCGGCGTTTTCCTTCGGGAAATATTATTGGCTCCAAATTAGCCGAGGAATTCGCTATTACGCGTCGGTGGCGGAACAGCCTGTGTAAGCGTGCTTGTCCTTCTGTCTTTTTTCCTTCTCGCTCGAACATCTTCGTTATTTTTTTCTTCGTTTATCCCCCCCCTCTCTCTCTCTCTCTCTCTGTGTATGTCTTTTTTTACTCTCTTTGTCTCTCCTTCGCACGCTTCATCAAGTTCCTTTCCGGTCGCGCTTTTAGCGTCGCTCTAGCTCTCCTCGTCCTCTTCTTCCTCTCTCTCTTTCTCTCTCTCTCTCTCTCTCTCTCTCTCTCTCTCTCTCTCTCTCTCTGTCTTGCTCGCTACTCATAGTGGTCCTGGGCTGCTTTTGGCGAGACTAGTGGCGAACGCGCATCATATGGGGCCGGTCTCATGCATTCGCGCATAGCAACAGAAACGAGAGAGAAGGCGGTCGTGTGCGGAGAAGGTTGACGCTGGAGAGGGAGTGGGAGAAAGAGAGAGAACTAAAGAAGAACACGTGAGAGAGGGAGAAAGAGAGACAGCTTATAGCTAAAAAAGAAATCCCTTCCGGACTCGTGTTTACGGGAACTTTTCCTCTCGTTTCTGAATCCTTAGCGCGATATCAAGGCTTATATAGGTGGCTTTTCAGCAGCCTGTAAGCATTCGCCTCTCTCGCTCTCTCTCTCTCTCTCTCTCTCTCTCTCTCTCTCTCTCTCTCTCTCTCTCTCTCTCTTTCTCTTTCTCTCTCTCTCTCTCTCTCTCTTTCGGTGTCGCTATGCTGTTACGATCGTCGACTATGGCGTACCATAGTCGAGTTGGATGAAGAGCGTGAAGAAAGAGGGGGAGCGAGCAAACAGGAGTTTCAGCTGGCGGGGGTGGCCACCACCCGGTGACGACCAGCCGCTCCGGCGATGTTGCTCGTAACGGCGAGGGTGAGAGAGAAAGAGAGAGAGAGAGAGAGAGAGAGAGAGAACGACAATGAAATCGCGGACCCTACGATGAATTCGCGTCGCCCATACCGGTTTCCTCTCCTCGCCCACGCGAGTGCCCGAAACGAATCGAACGATGCTTGGGCCGCGGTCGGCGTGTTTTCACGCGCAGGCACCCACGTGAGCGAATTCGGAGTCCGTATGCCTAGTATTGTAGGCGCGGACGCGATGTGCCGAGGAAAGAAAGAGAACATAGGAGGATCCGTGTGTGTTCGCGTATTCGGTCCGGATCGCGGCGAGAGCGAATAGGGACCGACCGGTGTGCTTTGGACGAGAGAGCCTCCCTCTTAAGGAGATTTCTCGCCTCTCTCTCTCTCTTCTCTCCTCCTCCCCGGGCCTTTTCTTTCTTCCGCTTCGGCCTCTCGTGGGGAGAGAAGCGGTCAAGAAATAAATTAATACACAGACGCGCGCGCTCCCGCGAATACATAACGCGAAAAAGCGGCGGGCCGCCGCTTGCGCGTGATTTTCGTATTATCGCGGGCAATAAATCCCCCCGTCCGCGGTGGTCGCAGCGGCATTTCCCAACACGGCGGTGCACCGAAAAACTTCGCGTCCGGAATCGCGCGGAGCGCGGCGCGGCCGGGCTGCCGATAGAAGTTGGCGCGTCACGCGCGCGAATTAAATTTCCGACTAACCCATATACGACGCCGCGCGCGAAATAAGGTCACGCCGGTGCGTTCTATATCTCGTGTTAGAAGAATCGCGCCTGTGACTAGCCGTGAAGTTTTAACCGCGTTTCACGACTGCTTTTATAAGCATACGAAAAGTTTCGCTCGCGCGAGAACCATCCCCGCCCGCCTGCCCTCCCACCTGCCTGCCTGCCTGCTTACCTGCCTGCCTGCCTGCCTGCCTACCTGCGTCTCCATGTACCCAGCTGAGAGACGGAGGGTGCCTTTGTGCGCGCGATCCTCTCGCGCGGGGGTTCCGATCTTATCCCCGTCCGAGGAGGACCGCTGCGAAATTAGAGAGACGAAGAAACGCGACTCGCACTCTTTCGGCAGCGCGAGCGAACCTCGAGATTAAACTATTCGCACACGCCCCCCTCTCCTTCCCCCTTTCTCTCTCTCTCTCTCTCTCTCTCTCTCCTCTCGCTGTACGCCGGATTCGTAGCGCAACGCGGATATTTATCCGCTCGGCGCTCCTGCCTTTTTGTAAATCGAGCCGACGGCGAGCCCAAGTCAAAAATAAGCGCCCGGTGCAGAGGCACGGCGGATTCGCTTCCGGGGCCGCGACGGCCTCCGACGGTGACGGTGACGGCGGCGACGGCGACGGCGGCGGCGGCACCGCGAAAGAGTTGGGAGTTCATTAGCCGCGGCCGCGCGCGCGGCCGGGTACACTCCTCGTGCTCCTTCGACGTACAATCGATGCCGAAATAGAGTAACTAGACGCCGATACAGCGCTGACCATCGCCGTGTCGATGACCCGGTGGAGGCGTGCCAACCGAACAACCACCGCGTCCTGCCCGATCCGCGGCTTCTCCTCCCGCCACCCTCTCCTCCACCGCCGCCGCCGCCGCCGCCGCCGCCGTCGCCGTCGCTGCCTCTGCCGCTGCCGCTGTCGTCGTCGTCGTCGTTGTTACCGCTGCGGCTGCTGCTGTTTTGCCGCCCCTTTCCCTTTCCTCGGCCTCTGGAAAAATTTCGCACGGCCGACGACGCGACCGAGCGTCGGCGAAAATCCCAGCGGCCGGCGCGCGCGTCGCCGGTTTTCGTACTTCGTGCGGAGCACGTATACGTGCGGACGAGCGCGAGACGGAGCTCTCGTTACAAACGGCGGCGTGGTTTTCACGTGGTCGCGGGCGTATCGATTCCCGGACGAGGCGGCAGATCGGATTCTGCGCCCTTTTCCCTTTCGCTCCCCTCCCCCCTCCGCCCGCCCGCCCGCCCGTCCACCCTTCTGCCGTCGTCGCTCCTTCCACCCTCTCGTCGCGCGCGCCGTCCTTCCACCTACCTTCCGCGCCTCGTAGACGGGATATTTACGACGAATTATACGATGCTTTTTCGTACGGACAATCGCGCGCGCGCGTCTCTCGGACGAGCGCAACGAAATCACGCATATTATGCGACAAGTACACACACGGATCGATCATTATTTTTTCTCTCGCTCTCTCTCTCTCTCCCTCTCTCTCTCTCTCTCTCTCTCTCTCTCTCTCTCCTCTCTCTCTCTCTCTCTCTCTCTCTCTCTCTCTCTCCTCTCTGCTCATCTCGCGCGAAACGTCATAGACCTCTGCTGTGTGGCTCTACGCGAATGGAGCGTTGCTCGTTATGTAAGTTCGAGGCGTTATGTTACTCGAGGCGAGCGAGCCTGCGAGGCCCGGCGATTGAATACGGATTCGAAAAGTACGAGGGATCCTTAGCAGGAGACGCAAAGTTATCCCGCCTTGGCCGAACTCGTCGATCGCGCGTTAATAGTCGCGATTCGGCGACCGGAGCTGCGTGTTAATAGCTGGCAAATATCACAGGTTTCCAATAAAGCAAGGCGACGCATCGTCGGGAACGATGAGGCGAAAAGAACAACATCTGTAGGCAGAGAGATGCCGCCGCGTCGCGCGATGATGGTGATTCGACAATCACGATGTGCACGAAACGCACAACTCTCGTATGTGTGTGAGTGCGCGCGTTGAAATCGGTCGAAACTTAGCAAAATTGTCTTCGTAATTGAGCGTTAGTATCGGAATTTCAAGAGAGATCTCGCGATACTTCGTGCACACATATCAGTCAACTCGCTCACAGTTGTGTCAATTTTGTTTGCTTCAGGTTTATTATGCGAAGAAGAAACGGAGAGCTCAGCAGATGCAAGGGGAGGATGGTTCGCATAAAAAGGAGAGGAAACTCTATAACGACGGCTGGGATGACGATAATCACGATTATATCATCAAGAATGGGGAAAAGTTCCTCGATCGATATGAGATCGATTCATTAATAGGTGAGACACGCAAGCAGCGAGTTGGCCGCGCAAACATTGACAAAATTTCACGGATTAGTATCGCGCGCGCGGTAGCTTTCGATAATTTCAACGATCCCACGACTTAGTATTGGCGACTTTTTATCGAAAGGACACTCTGACGTTACACCTCGCCCCGAGTGATCCTGACAATTCGGCCCGCCCGTTTCTCACGGCGTACTCATTCGTCCTCCGCTTGCAGGTAAAGGCAGTTTCGGCCAAGTAGTGAAAGCGTTCGACCACGAGGAGCAAACGCAAGTGGCAATAAAAATCATCAAGAACAAGAAGCCTTTTCTAAATCAAGCGCAAATCGAAGTTAGGCTATTGGAAATGATGAACAGAGCGGATACCGACAACAAGTATTATATAGGTAACGGAAAATATGTGTGTGTGTGTGTGTGTGTGCGTCGCAACGTACGCGGCGGGATGACTCTCGCGAGAGCGTGTGACGGCTAACGCGATTCCTTTTCTTCTGATTGCAGTTAAACTGAAGAGGCATTTTATGTGGCGGAATCACTTATGTCTGGTATTCGAGCTGCTATCGTATAATCTATATGACCTACTTAGAAATACAAATTTCCGAGGAGTGTCATTGAACTTGACGAGAAAGTTTGCACAGCAACTGTGTACTGCCCTCTTGTTCCTGTCTACGCCGGAATTGAACATCATTCACTGTGATCTGAAACCCGAAAACATCCTTTTGTGCAATCCCAAACGAAGTGCGATAAAGATAGTCGACTTCGGTAGTTCGTGTCAACTTGGACAAAGAGTAGGTATCCCGGAAGATATCGGCCGGCTCGTAAACGATCGCCCCCAGCCGCCCCAGCCACCACCCTTCACCCGCCGTCTCTTTTTCTTCTTGGCTACTTGCAGATATACCAGTATATTCAGTCCAGGTTCTACAGATCTCCGGAAGTCCTATTAGGAATACCTTACGACCTCGCGATAGACATGTGGAGTCTGGGATGTATTTTAGTAGAAATGCACACGGGAGAACCTCTGTTTAGTGGGGCCAACGAGGTAAGCAAGGCCAGCGCTCGGCTGTTCTTTATTGAGTACTTTTTTAAATTCGCCCGCCGAGTCTGCGTAGCTCTCGATAATCATTAATAGCACGAGACGCTACCGTTATCGGCTGTGCTCAAGACGTAGGCACGCGTTTGCTCGCTCGCTCGCTACGGCGAATGATTCATTTGAAAGTCTACTGTATATGTGTACAGTATGTGTACGCGTGTGTGTGCTTGTGTGTGTATATATTCGATATGCTCGACGTGACGTAATCGTTTTCTATCTTGCCCTGCAGGTCGATCAAATGAACAAAATCGTAGAAGTACTAGGAATGCCGCCGAAACATATACTGGACCAAGCGCACAAGGCGCGGAAGTACTTTGACAAAGTCCCCACGGATGGCTCGTACGTGCTGAAAAAGTCCAAGGACGGTAAAAAATACAAACCTCCCGGCACGAGGCGCTTGCACGATATTCTAGGTGTCGAAAGCGGCGGCCCCGGCGGAAGGAGGATAGGGGAACCGGGTCATTCGATTTCCGATTATCTCAAGTTTAAAGACCTAATAATACGGATGTTGGACTTTGACCCGAAGACGAGAGTGACGCCGTATTATGCGCTTCAGCACAACTTCTTCAAAAGAACAGCCGATGAGGGGACCAACACGAATATCGCTGCTGCTAATAGTGCGAGCACGAGTCCGGCAGTGGTGTCGATGAGCCAGGATCATGGTAAGACGTCAACTGTCACCGGTCGCCAACTGACTTCGGCTGTGAAACACTGTATAATATATAGAGGAGAGAAGTACGATACGCATTTATGTGCTTCACATCTGAGTACCTTCGAAACTGGCAGGTTTTCAACGATTTAAACGAGCAGTCTCGTTCGTTATTCGCGACACACCGTGTGCGTGTGCATTTGCGTGTGCGTGTGTGTGTGTGTGTGTGTGTGTGTGTGCACGCGCGCGCGCACACGCGACTCTCACGATTGTCTCTTGATTCGAGCAACGAGTAACTTCTACCGAAGTGTTGAAGGTTGAAAACGTGTCAGGTTTTGCATTATGTCACGATAAATGTACTCTTCAAACGATTTAATCGCAGCGAGAGACATGATCTTACGAAAGTATGGCTCTATGTCGCTTGATCTCATTCATCACTCATCATTATTAATATCGTATATTTGATTATATTACATCATCATCACCTGACGATTACATCTAATCTATATATATATGTATATATATGTGTATATATATATATATATATATATATAGTCTCTTGTGAGTTCATCTTTTCAGCTGAAATAGGTACCGCTGTAGAAAGAGAATTCACTACTTTCACACCGCTCATTTATACATAGATAGTGCTGTATAAATGTATAATAACAGTGAGAGGCAGGTTAACACACTCTGCAATGTCACGTGCTCTGTTCAGGCCGCATTAGATTAATCGCGTACTATCATCCGGAGAATTGGTCAAACGAAGATCTATTGTCCTTCGTGTGCTCTGATGAGTTTAATGAAATTTCGGTGGCTAATGATATCTGAGCTGTTATGAGCAACTTTGAGTAATCGGATACAAGGTAGATATAGACGAAAAAGAAAACACATAAGGAGGAAAATTCTGTTGTGTTGTGAGTTTAGGAAGGTTTTGATTTGTGCAGAAAATAAGAAATTCTCTCTCTCTCTCTCTCTCTCTCTCTCTCTCTCACTCACTTTTTTTTAAGCGGATTTTTTTAACCTCATTGCGTTTCGTCCCGTTTTTTTCTTTACACACATATATATATATATATTTCTTTCCCTTCATTTTTTCCAAAAGCTACATCATACAATTGAGTAATTACGCGGTACAGCATTAGTCGATCATACTTGCACTGCATTGTTAAACGTTAGTTCTGTTGCGACACGTACGCTTGATTCTACGACCGATCATGATCCCTCTTTTCGACGGTATCTTTTTATTTTCTGCGCAAACTAAACGATACTTGTTGTTGTTGCCCGTAGATATGATGGGGGGACAATACGTGGCTCGATGACTGTCGTATCCGCGGGGCGGCGACGACCTGTCCTAGGCCCCCCAACCCTAATCTTACTTACTAACATAAGTAAGTTCTGTCTAACAAACAATCCTACACATGCTAAAAGACTAACGATGTCCCTGATAATCATATCCTGGCCTCGGATGTATTGCGCGAAGCCTTGCTTGCTTGAAGACAATTTCCCTGATCTTATTCTTTTTTCTCTTGGGACACGGATTTTACATTGCTAGCCCGTGCCACCAAACATTTGAGTAACACGATATATCATCCTTACTTACATGATGTCTGCTGTGAGGCCAATTGTTCATTATTATTACTATTATATGTGTGTATATATATATATGTATATATATATATATGGATATATATATATATATATGTACGTATATGTATATGTATTATACATGAGGCTGTCCTTTCTCGATGACTCTATCTTAGAACGCAAAGACAATGAAATAGCATCATGTTACCGCTGGAATATGTTTTCATTTTTTGTCGCTTTTGTTTTTGTTCACGGTCAAAAAAAGAAATAAAATGACCGAGCGCTGAATGAAACGTGAATGTCCGTTCGGAAACGATTATTCGCGTGATATGGTAAAACATATTCCAACTGAAAGTATATATATATATATATATATATATATATAAAAATATATATATATATGTTGCATCTGTGTTAAGTGAATTTTTATTCTGTAGAAAAGTCACTTCATCGTCTTCTCGTTTCTTTTTTTTATGCATGCTTTAGCTGCTTGCGTCGTGCACTTCACAAGTGCCAGTGCTGTAAATGGGACATGAAATCTTAACGGTCCTGTGAAATGAGTCTTGTCCATCAGTATATATGTATTTTATCATGTATCTCTCTTCATAAGTTTATCCCAACGTATCGCTCCAACTGCACACATTTTGACACATCAATTAATTACGTATGTCATTAGAAAAAAAGAAGAGTCCGTCGACCACACGATATGATACAACGATAAACGATAAACTAAGAAAGATCGCAGTGTCACATCTTCCAAAATATGTCGTTCGTAATGTACGCATATTACGACGTGATTGCTCAAGTAAAAGACACTCACTCATGCATCTCGCAGCACACGTAAAGCACGTAGAGTCGTCGCAGGAGTCGCCCGAGATCGACACGAATTCGCGATTACTTCGATTACAAAATAGCGTGTAAAGTACATCCGATTCACATTCGTAGCGGCAACAGTAAAATCTCGCGCGCGCGGGCCGACGAAGAGACTCACAGTTGCAATGTCGAGTACCTTCACCTCCGTCGTTCAAAGAGTGAATTATCACACAGCCCCATTCTCGTCGTCGTTTGATCAGGAATGTGCGTGAAACGGAGATGGTAACGGTGGAGAGATTATTGCCTGCAAATGCAATGCCCTTGTAGACGTTTGAAATTTTATTTGTTCTTTCATATTCCCATAGTGACATCCGATTTGTAATTCGAGCTAGCGGTTTTTTCGCGGATGGATTATGGCATTAGTGTTGAAATCCGCCGCGGACACTCGGCCGAGCCGAAGCTGACTCTATCCTCTCTTTTCCATGTCCCAGGACTGGTAACCATGTCGGGACAGGGCAGCGGCGGCAGCAGCAGCGGCGGCAGTAGTCTGCAGATGCAAGCGTCGAGTCTACCTGGTGGCTACCAACCGATGGACTGCGAGTCCTCGCCCCGTCACTCGGGCAGTCGGCGTGCCATCACAACGGGCTACCCGTCGACCTCGTCAGCCACCGGGGGTGTGCCCGCATCGTCCGCCCCGATGTCCATGCAGTCTATGGACAGCTCCCTGATACAGAGCTCTCTCGGATCGTACAATAGCCTAATTCTTCCCGGTATACCCCATCTGCCTGCGATGATGACCTCGCCGATGATTCAGCAGCAGAACTTCTACAACTACGGCTACTCGACGACCGATACGCACGGGATGGTCAGACAGCCATCGACAGTGTCGACTGGTAACCAGCGAGATCCGGAGAGAGAGGATAGCCCGATGGTTGGAGTGTGCGTCCAACAGAGCCCGGTCGCTATCCACTGAGATGGAGAGAGAGAGAGAGAGAGAGAGAGAGAGAGAGAGAGAGAGAGAGAGAGAGAGAGAGAGAGAGAGAGAGAGAGAGAGAGAGAGAGAGAGAGAGAGAGAGAGAGAGAGAGAAGGGAGAGAGGAGCAACCGACGATGGACAATACAGCTCGTCGCGATCGCAGGACCGTGAAGAAGAACAATCTCAGCCGATTAATCGATTGCGGATGTAGCTCGTGGCATGCTTCGAACGTTTATCGTGGCGATAGCGACGAGAAGACGAGGAGAGAGAGAGAGAGAGAGAGGGGGGGGGGAGAGAGAGAGAGAGAGAGAGAGAGAGAGAGAGAGAGAGAGAGAGAGAGAGAGAGAGAGAGAGAGTGAAGAAAGGATGGAAGAGGAGATGATGGTAGGCGAAACATCTCGGAGTCGTTCCCCGACGCTGCTTCCTCAGCACAGAGTCAAACGACACGCGGTAACGCGCGACAACGACGCGTCAACTTTTTGGCAGTGAATTCAACCAATCTTTCGGATACGTTGGTTTGGCCGAACAATTCTGGAAAATACACAAGGAAATTACCCGGAAAATCCCAAAATTCCACCGCAAGCTCTACAGGAGAAGCACCGGATCTCTCCCTCTTCTGTGCGTCGAGAGACGGCAGAAGCGAAGACGTGCTCTAAAAGAACAAAAGCTCGGCAGCGTTAAACGACTACGTGTGCGAACGACGACAAGTCCAACGACGTGTGGAGAAGAACGCAAGAGGAGGAAGAACGCGGAGGGTTGAGAGGAGGGCGAAAGTGCGAGGGAAATTTTCGTTTCCGTTACGTTTGCTGTATTTTCGTATTTTTTACCGAGCTGACTGGCCCTATACGTTGTGAACGTGGATATACGTGTTAAGAAGATTAACGAAAAGCTTCGAGCATGGACAGACAGTAATGGTCTAGTGAGGATGAACCCAGCTGGCCTCTCGGGTCCTGCCCGATTCCACAGACTCACTCTGCAGAACTGCGGTTTTAGCGTAAAGAAGCAGCTGAGCAGAAAACTTTCGGCAACCAAACTGTGTGGCCTAGAGAGCTAAAAAGTGATAATTATTATTATTATTATTATTACCGCATTAAAAAAAAAAATAATGCAGGAGAAAAGTAAGAATTACCAATGTAAGCATGTACTCCAATAGAGTTTTATACACGATGTCACGAATGTAAACGATTTAGCAAGTACTTGCGAGCAAACCAGTCTCTCTCGCGTCGACTGCTAGTTATTTGTACAATACACTTAGGTGAACGATAAGAGTGCAGCTTTAGGGTTTAGCTTTTAAGTATGAGAGGAGGTAAAAAAGAAAAAGATGAACACACACACACACACACACCCAACACCACACACACACATACATCCACACACACACATACATACATACATACATACATACATACATACATACATACATACATACATACATACATACACACACGGACATTGTAAACTTGACTCTTTTGTTTACTTTAATGGAAAACAAAGGATATTGCAAACGTCAGTTTGTTGTTGAACAAGGACTTTAAACAAACGAGGTTTGCATGGCTTAACAACAATACATATTTATACATAAAGAAAAAAGCAGTAATAAGAACGTTAAAAAAAGCAGCATACACGTAAGATCGATCAAGAATGATATAATCATACGAGAAACCTAGATACTTTATAATAAACAATACGCGCGTACTCGCATACAACACACGTTTCCAACGCCAATCGTCATTGATTTTTGCCGTTTGTGCTCCGATGGTCGCTGCGCTTATGCCATTCGCACCAACTCTAATAATATAATAGCTCCCCTTTCGTTTGTTATACAGAAGACTTACGCAAGCACAGATTTATTCGGCCAAATGTTTTTTAATCTCGGTTAAAGTACGATTCCTTTTGATTATTTATGTCGACCGTACATCTATATACATACATATATTGTGACTAGATGACGAATAAAGGTAGAAACTTTAATTTTTTTCTTTTGCTTATTATCGACAGCCACGAACGTTTTGTCATTAAGCTACCAATTGTAAGTGTAGTATAGTACCTGAAGGCGGCAGACCATTAAAACGCAACCATAATAAAGCCCTACAGAATCCAGATGTTAAAAAGGAAAAAAATAAATAAATAAAAGTTATGACTTTTAATAGAAACTAAATAATAATATACGCTGTAAAGAAAGAGAAATCTTAAAGATCTTAAAGAATTATGCATGTTGCTTTTCTGTAATCACGATATAGCAAAGTGCGGAAATACCAAGTCCGTTTAACGAGGTATATTTTATATTTGCGGCTTTTATAATTCCATACAAAAAAAAAAAGGAAAAGAAAGAAAAGAAAGGAAAGGACACACCGCGGGGACCTAAGATTTAGATAATAATTTTATAATTTATGATGTTTATTATATTCTATACGGAATTTGTACGGTGGTATTTTGTTGACGGACTGTATCGTGTGATTTACTATATAGTTATTTTAGGACGTTCTAGATTAATTTTGTCGCTTTTCAAGGTCTCCGATGACTTTACGGTAAACGAAGCTGCATGTATAATTCCAAATGTAATCGTCATCTTTAACATTTTAATTGCGATCTTCTTATTCTTCTTTGTACGAAAATTTTTATGCGTAATAGCGACGGTAAAGCAACGTATTTTGTCTGCATGACTGCGACTGTTGTCAAAAGAGCTTGGCCAAAAAAGATATTAGACGACCAAAAGGATTCTTACGATGTATTTTTTGGAAAAGTAACGAAAGAAAGAAAGAAAGAGAGGGAGAGCGCGAGAGAGAGAGAGAGAGAGAGAGAGAGAGAGAGAGGGAGAGAACGAGAGAGCGAAAGGGACAGAGTGAAAGAGAAAGAAAGAAAGTTGGGAGAAAGAGAGAACGAGAGTCTCACTGTGAAATTTAGATTTCAATTCCTGTTGTATTAGTTGTAAATATATGGGGAAATATAACATACTTTCGAGTAGCTGAAGAAAAGTCTAACGTGTTTCACACAAGCCATTCGATCTGCTAAGAATCATTTTCTTCGTGCGGCCTTTCGAATGATTTGTATATTTTTATACACCTGAGCAACACAGAGATGCATTTGCAGATACGTTTTGAACGGAGGAGATACAAACGAGACATTCTATATTGCAACTCAGAGATGTTGAGGTTTGTTATACTCGAATTTATTACTAAGTTACCGGGCGAAAACAAATTTTCTAACACAGTATCTAAGAAAATGTAATGTCCCTCTGCGGGGCAAATAGGAAATATGAAGTCCACGATACCACTTGTACCATAAATGTTTTTATATCGCATTACAAGATTTATGGCAATCGGTGCTTAAGGTACGTTAAATTCGAAGAGTCGTAATGAGTCTGTGTTGTGATTAGATAGTTCGGAAGCAATGCTTGAAAATAGATAGATTCACTGTGACATGAATAAAATATCGAAGCAGAGAACAACCAGCTCTCCGGAAATCTCATCCAAAACGTAACGAGATATTACGTCGCATCTTATTACCTCAACGACTTTCATAATTTCGGCAGGTGAAGTTTGTACAGGATATGATTTTTTAGAGGTAGAAAGAGTGGGAAAGCGAGAGAGAGAGAGAGAGGGAGAGAGTGAGTGAGAGGGAGAGAGAGAGAGAGAGAGAGAGAGAGAGAGAAAGGGCGAGAGCGAGAAAGAGTGAAAGAGAGAAAGAAAGATTAAACGGCGAGAAAGCGCAGGATTTTCTGTGACAAATTCTGCTGTATCTCCGTGTATCTTGTTGAACGGCAAAAATCAGTACGCTCTATAAGTGTAGACAACGTGTGACATCACACGAGTCCCCCTTCCGAATTCACACGATGTTAACACGCTGTGCCCACCAGTCCTAAACTTGGTGTTCATGTAATATTCTCACACGCTAAACCGTCATTCGAACTAATATACAGAGCTATTTTTTATCATAAACGAAAACTCGAATCACACGCACGTCATCTTCGCTCGTGATGAATATTGCGCGCGACAGTATGTTGTAAAATAGCCTTCATCGGGTTCGGTTCGTACCATAAAGCGATACTCCGGTACTCCTCTCTTGAGAGGTCGCAGGGAATTTAGAGAGAAGAGGAAGAAGTTAAAAATATGCACAATCCGACCGAATGATGGACTTTTGGGTACAGCGCGCTGCGTAATGGTAATGCATCGAAGTATCGTTCTTCTTTTTGATGACTGTTGATTTTGATAGAGTGATTAATTGTCGTTTGATAGAGAGAGAGAGAGAGAGCGCAGAAGTGTGATTGATAATCGGTTATCAACGACGTGACCCTTAGCCAAACCCAAACCTCCATCACGTCGGCCAACAACGCCCGCGGCGGCGTTCAGGCCACGAAAGGAGGAAGAAAAATTTACAGAGAACTTTTTCGGAGCGCGAGGCAAGGATAATAGCGTTGTAAAGGGCATATGCTGCGCGAATTACGAACATAATAGCGATGTCGGACATACAGCTACGTGCGAGGACACGGCGAAATGCGTTTCAAGTGTAACGTTCAGTAGTAGCCTCCTATGGAAGAGAGGCAAGGGAAGGAATAAAACATGCATCCGACACGCAGGACGAACTTCTCTGGATTATACTTTCTGTCTCGTTTTCCTTTTTCTTTTTGTGTTCCGTGTAGGATCTTCCTCGCTTCCCCCCCTCCCGACATACGCGCGTTCATTTCGTTCGAGAGCCTCACCGCCATCACCACTGCAACCAACCACCTTCGTATGACAAATGAATTTGTCCACTCAACAGCTGTCGTAAAATACAAAGTATTTAAGCCAATTAGCAGACAACAGAGATGTATACATTTAATAGCGTAAGAACCGGCCGTGATTCATGTTCCAAATGATTTGTCGTTGCATTTTCCTGTACACATTGTTTCCTTTTCCTCCTTTCTCATTCTGGAGAGACAGTGAGAGAGAATGAGTGAGAGAGAGAGAGTGAGAGAGAGAGAGAGAGAGAGAGAGAGAGAGAGAGAGAGAGAGTGAGTGAGTGAGTGAGAAAGAGACCGTTTGGTTCGCGCGTGAAAACTGAATTTTAAGTCGACCGTCTATAGCTTTCCGAACATTATCTCGACTAATCGTTTCAACGCACTCCGTGATTTTCAAATCACGCACACGCCCGTTTATTATTATCGAATCGACGCTTATATTACAGCCATGACGAATCTTTCCTTCGTGTGTGTGTGTGTGTGTGTGTGTGTGTGTGTGTGTATGTATGCGCGCGTGCGCGCGCGCGCTTGCATTTCCGACGACGTATTTTAGCTGATGAAATAAATCTCAGATCCAGCGCGAAACGCGAGCGCGAATCCCTTCGAAGACGCGCGCGCGAGACGCGCTGTGACTTCAATTCGCGGGATCTTTTTGGAACATGTCGCGGCGGACGTAAAGTAAACCTAAGTTTCCTAACGTCATGTGTAAAAGCATTGTGTTCAGAAATAAATATACTATAATATGACTGATGCGCCTGAGAGGCGACGTGCGAGCGTCCTTTGAGAATTAAGCATGATAGAGAGAGAGTGATGATGTCTTGATGTCTCGTTCGGCGATGGCATACGCCAATCGGGACAAAAAATATATGGAATGAATGCGGAGAGAGAGAGAGAGAGAGAGAGAGAAAGAGAGAGAGAGAGAGAGAGAGCGAAAGCGAGTGAAAGAGAGGGAGAGAAAGAATGCGAGAGAGAGAGAGAGAAAGAGGAAGAACGAATAACAAACAAAAAAACTGATTTATTAAGATGAAAAAAAATAATTAACAAAACCATACCGGATGAAGGAAAATGAACTTGTATCTAACGTGTATACATTGTCATAACATTATTATGATGATTATTATAATTATTATTATATATAATAATGTAATTGAAAATTTGAAATGATATTACATAAGGTTAATAATAAACAAAAGCATCTTCACCTTTTGCTGTTACCTTTTCTTCCGCTAGCGATTTACGCCGCGCCTGATCTATCCGATTAATCGTACTCGCGGCATATAAAGCCAGTTCTTCGTACAATAAATGTTTTTCCAATTACGAATCTAAGCTTTCAGTTGCATGCGGTTTCAGCATCGATCAAGGTTCGTAAAATTGAACTCAAATTTCTATGACACAAATCACTTACATGGTTATCAAGTGTGTGGTTTAATGCCGAATCAATTTTACCACTCATTCTCAAGTATCGAATGTATGTACGAAACAAAAGCTGAAGAGGTCGTTGATGTAGCGTTTCCAATGAACATGTCCGCCTCGTGGGAGAAGAAAGCGTGTCAATTATTAGTGCTTCAATTTTTTAGCGAATATAGCCGGACGAATGGCACTCTTGTTGAGTTAGCCGCACGAAACTAATTTGCAGTAGAAAATGAGTTTTTCGGTGAAAAAGACCGGTGGCAGAATGTGGCACGAGGCACGCAAGCAGGAGAAGAAAATTCGCGGAATGCTGGTCGATTATCGCCGTCGGGCAGAACGTAGACGAGATTACTACGAGAAAATCGTAAGAACATGAATATAAACTACGCGACGGATTCTCTTGTGCTAATTATAAATAAGTAAATCCGATCATACGCGATAAACAATATACGCATTCTCTTCCTTCTATCTTGGTTCAATGTAGTAGAACGACCCTTCCGTCGGATATTTTACTGTCAAATATAACGTCTGTTCTCTTTATGCCATGTTTCGTACTTTCATTTTTTGTATCATCTATGTTCTATTCTCTACTTAGAAATCAGATCCTACGCAATTTCTCCAGCTACATGGCAGACCATGTAAAATACATTTGGACCCAGCGATAGCTGCTGCGGGTGATAGTCCTGCAAATATGTGAGTATACAACAATAGTGATGTTATGATGTTGATTACACTCATTGATTTGACTTGTAATTTCATCGCAGGATGCCTTGGCAAGGCAATGAGGATAACCTTATAGATCGCTTTGACGTACGAGCACACCTTGATTGGATACCAGAAGCACCCGACACAATTGATGTTGACATTGCTCTAACAAGTGAAGATAGACATATCAACTATGAACGTTATCGTATTATTGTTCAGAATGAATTTTTAGGTGGTATGTTTCTTGTCTCTATTTTATCTCCTGTATAATCTCTCGATGACTCTTCGTATTTGTGATCAATGTTTCCTGACTGCTAGTGGCCGAAGAGAAGTTTCTTCATCAGATATATTTGGAGGAGCAATTTGGTTCATCCACAAAGTTGGATGCTGCAAAAGATAAAAAGAAGTCTGCTAATAATGCTGCCATTGGGTACAATTATGAAACAGAAGAACCGATACCTGAGCCAGTAAAATCAGTAGACCCTATCATATCTGAAGAGAAGGGAGATGATGAAGATAGCGATATAGATTTAGGTATTATTGGTTTACTCAATGTACAATTCAATACATTGTGACAAGAAGAGAGGATCTCTTTTTACATAATTTATTACTTTTATTCAGACATATGCGTGGATGTGTCTCAAATAGAGCTATCTCAAGCGCATGAGATGAATTTGGTAGCTCAAAAATATGGACTCTTAGGTGCTGATTACTTTAGCTTTTTAACGCAAGATTTTGAGGAAGCCGAAACTTTGCGGCAAGCCCGGAAACAAGAGGAGGAGAAAGCCATGTATTCGGTAAACAGTTATATCGATACGAAGCAGTTCAATAAAAATATATCCTATCCAGTATAATCAGCATCATTTCTACTCGGAGAGTATTTTAACGCATCTGTTTTAAACAGGGTCGACGGTCGCGTAGGGAGCGGCGAGCATTTAGAGAAAAGAAAATGATAGGTCGCGTGATGAGTCCACCTAGGTAATAATTCGTTCATCGAATTATTTTTTAGAGTGGACTTTTGCTTAGTATTGTTTATGCAAATCATTGTGCAGTTACGCGGCGAGGGAGAGCCCCGAATACAATCCCTACAGAAGATCCTCTTCCAAGTCACGATCGCGTTCCGCGTCGCCTGTAAATACCGGACAGATTACTTACATCACAAGTTTCGGCGGCGAGGAGGAAACTCATGGCAGTACTTCGCACGTCACATCGTCGTACTCAAAGAAGGTCAATTATTCGTACCTCAGGCGCCGGCGATCGGAGAGCCCTGCTTTCAGCGAGAGAACAGTCAGTAGGAAACTGTCCAAGTCTAGGTCGAGAAGTTGTTCACGCTCAGTTAGTAGGACTAAATCGTATAGGACACGCGATAGAAAACGAAGTGGATCTAGAATAAGGTAAGTTGTAGATAAAGATGACAGATAGCCTTCGCAGAATTGAAATAATTTCTTTTTGAAGTTTTAATCTTTAAAGTGTCTTGTAGAGTTCTACCCTCTATTTGACTTTCCATTTGTCTCATTAGATCGAGAAGACCTCGCTCGAGACCTCGAAAGTTCACTAGATCAAGAACAAGAAGCTGGTCGAGACGATCTCGAACGCGAAGTAAATCGCGATCGCGTTGCAGGAGTATCAGCAGATCCCGGTCGTTCACTGTTTCCCGATCTAGATCACGTTCGCGCGCCAAGAGGTCCAGAAGCGTATCCTCGAGCAGCGTATCAAAGTCAAGATCAAGATCGAGATCGCGTAACAGGAGCCACTCGAGAGATAGCTATCGAAAAAGACGTTACTCGCCGTCTAAGTCAAGATCCAAGTCACGATCGAGATCGAAGTCCCCGACGAGATCTAGAAGTCGTTCGAGAAGCCAGTCGAGTTGCAAACGATCACGGAGCGATGACAACAAGACACCAGCATTGCCAAGGTAAAACAAAAAGTCTCGCCGATTTCCGCAGACGTGACAAATCATCTGAGCATGCCGATGAGAAATCGTGATATGATTTTGCTGTATTTTGTTTTCAACAATTTATCATTGTTCACAGGTACTACGGGCGCCGTGGGAAGTCATCGAGTCTTGAACTAGAGCTGTCCGATAACGAAGAGAAAACCAATCCCGCGACATCGGCGAAGCCGCCGATAATTAACACAAGCACGTAAGCACGTTGGCACTAACAACTCGACTCGATCTATAATTCATCATGTATTGACTGTGTTGAACATGTATTTCACATGTATTGAATGTATTTCAGGAACAAGCCAAAAGCAGGGTTAAGTACAAATTCTGGTGGCGGACACAAAGTCAGTAAGAACCATAACGCTTTCTTAGTCACTTAACGCACAGAGAATAAAGACAGAAAACATACTTGTCTCAATAATAAGTACCCTTCTAAACGAGGAGCCTCGACGAGCGCTTCTCGTTTTCGTTGTGCTATGACACGTCACCGACGTGTCCACGTCGTATGCTACATTTATTTGATGTTTTTCATTTCTAACGTATTGTCAAGCACATTTCTTGCGGCCACCGTTACAGCAATGAGGAATTTGAAATTTTCACGTGAATCGGTAAAATCTCAAAGGCGTGTGGTTACAGCAGATTCACATTTATTCATTCAACTTTGTGCTGCGTCATTGCTGCTGCTGCTTCTTTAATCCGTGCACACACGTTCATTCATTCGATAGTGGAAATGACAAATTTCTCGCGGTGTATATTTATGTTTTTATCTGGTAATGCATCATTAGTTGTACGTGTGCATACATTATGTACGTAATGCGGGCTAGATTTGCGTATTATACCAAGAGAATATCGACTAGCTACAGAACTTTAAGAATATTCATCTTTCAGACACTGAAAATTACACCTCAGGAGCGGCTTAAGAAAAAAATGCAGGCTCTACTGAACAGACAATGTGAGTTGTGCTTAAAAGAATACGCTGCGTGTAATCACGCGATGTAAAACGAATTAAAAATTTGTACGTCCTTGTGTAGATAAAGCTGACAAGAAGGCTGAGCAACTGAGAATTGAGAAAATGGAGCAACAGCGGCAGGACCGGGAAGACGAGATTCGAGAGATGTCATTAAAACTACGTAGAAAGTAAACAACTTCTCTCTTCCCTTTGATATCGGAAAGACTCACCAGAATGAACGAGACGTTAATTCCATCATCTCATTTTTTTCAGACAAAGAGAGCGGAGGCATCGCTATGAAGGCCACAGTTCCGATACACGTTCTTCCGCGTCTCGCACGCCAAGCCCGAGCCGTAGTCCTCGACATCACGTTGTACGTCGCGAGAGGAGAGATCGGGACGCAGATGGCGATCGTGAGAGGGAAAGAGAAAGGGACAGGGAAAGAGACAGAGACAGGGAAAGAGATTACCGACGCGATGATCGCGATCGCGATCGCGATCGTGATCGCGGTAGAAACGATTCGCGTAGAAGGCACAGAGATTCACCACTTCGCTCATTGAGTCCCAGGAGCAGTCGGTAGAGTATCTCCAACAACGACGAGCGAGATCGAGTTGCATCAGCAATGTATTGTGATGTGTACTATTTGAGTTACAATAATTCATTGGTGTCTGAATAAAATAGAATTAATGTTAATTTGCGTTCGATGCAACTGAATCTAAGTACAATGAAATACGATGATATCCTGTTAACTTTATTTTTCCTTATTCCAGAGGCCTAGTCGACTATTGACTTCGGGATACACGTTTCATCTTCCATCCGAATGTTAAAAGAGATGAATTAAAATATGTTTTAAATACTTTCTATTCAACCGCATTCCTTCCTTAAATCGCTGCTGCTGACATTTTAAGGGGATCGTGTGCTATGGGAAAATTCTACGAAATTTATCACCAGCATCACTATTCTCAAAAGCACTGCAAAATAATATGGCATAAATCTGCTATTATATCAAATAAATGGAAGTATTTCCGTGTATATCCATGTTTCTACTTGGCACGACTGTTGTTACACGTGATGAGTATGAAAAGATTAGCATGATACATTCGCAAGAATCGTATTTGTTTTACTTCAGAGGAAAAGAGGAGGAATTAATTTGGAAAATATGTTACTATTGTACTTTAGAGTTGAGCGCACTTCGCTATTTATTAGATATCAATTATTGTTAGATAATTGTTCAATAATAAAGGCGTTTATTGCGCAACAAGTAAATATAGGTAATATTTCATGTAGAGCTACACTTATTTTGATATAGTAGTATATGTAGTATATGTAGTATTTGATACAGTAGTATCAAGTATAATAAGGTTGTTTCTCTACATTTGAGAATATAAATGTATATCCCATGTTGCTTCCCATATATTATGGAATTTGAGAAAGAAAAATTTATTGAGAACACATCCATAACGTTTCTCATACAAATTAATCTAATTTGTGATCTTCAGTTATCACATCCTTATCTCATTAACGATTTTATTGTTATATCAGGGACCAAAGTCTCCGATATCTAGTATGTCTTTTGTAGTTTGTTAAAAGTCATGGCTTAATGATATATATGTTGAAGAGGAAGGGGATTTTATCTCAGTCTGTTCTCAAACATAGAGTAGAAAGGAGATTCAAAACGAAAAAGAGATGGCACAAATAACATTTGCAATTTTAACTGGTATGTACTACAATATTTATGCTTCGTATGAAATATATCGTACATGCATTAATAATTTCCAGTTTAATTAAATTTTATCAGTAAAATATTACAACGTTGATGAATATTTTGATCATATCTATTTAGAGGTTAAATTCGACTGCATGCTTGTTTAATTATCAATAATCTTGTATGAGAATTAATTATTCTGATATTTTTGTTATAATTTAGTAAGCGACACTTGCGCAAAGGGTGAGAAAACAGACAAAAGCGGTCCTGCGTTAAAAGAACTTGTCAGTAACACAAACACTAAAGTAGGAAGTATACTCAAAGGAAATGTTATTTGTGCAGCAACGGTGCCAGACGAAAAAGATATGATAGTGGTAATTAAATAATTTAAATATGCTTATTTTTTTCTCTCTGTTTCTTTCTCTCTCTCTTTTTCATATTCTATATTTTTCATTCTGTACTTAATATAGAAATACTTAATTTCTCGGAGTGACAAGTATAAAGTAAACGTTATTCTCACTACTGGTGGTACTGGAATGTCTAAAAGGGACATAACACCCGAGGCAACTAGAAAAGTTCTTGATAAGGAAACTCCTGGAATGGTTACAGCAATGTTGATGGCAGGCTTGAAAAATACACCAATGGCTATGCTTTCTCGGTATAGATTTATTTCTGTTCACTCTATAGCCTTTAAGATCATAGCCTTTACAATTAATGCATTCTCAGAGCTGTATGTGGAATACGAAATAAGACGTTAATTATTAATTTGCCCGGTTCACGTAATGCTGTGGAAGAATGCTTGACCGCAATTGCACCTGCGATACCACATGCAGTAGATTTGATCACAGATAGGAAAGCATTAATTGCGGATACTCATAAAGTTATGGAACATGCAGATACATCTTTATTAAGTCAGCAGACTGGCTCTAGCTCAACCATGGTAAATTTCTTTTTTATATTATATTCCTCAAAATAATTAAATAATCATCAAAAGAGCTAAAATTTTATTTAGTGCGATGCCTTAATTGTTTTGAGTAGTGTAAAAATAATTAAATACAAAGATTTTATGAGATACACAATAAAAAATACTTACAGATGGTTTGTAAAAATGTTGTACAACGCAGCAGACAGTCTCCATTTCCCATGATTACAGTGGAAGAAGCACTAGAGTTAATACATAAGAGTGTACAGGTAACAGAAACTGAAATTGTGAATACGGAAGATGCGCATGGCAGAATATTAGTGAAAGATATACATTCCTTCTGTGACTTGCCACCATTTAAAGCTTCCATTAAAGATGGATATGCAGTATTGGCAAGTGATGGGAAAGGTACAAGAAAAGTGTTATGTGGTGTAACAGCAGGAACTGAAGTAAGTTGCAATAATAGTCCGGAGACAACGAATACAAACTATAATGGAAAATTTTTCAGCCTTTTTCATCTTTGCTTACAACTGGTACATGTATGCGCATAAACACTGGAGCACCTGTACCTGATGGTAAATAACCATAATAAATAAAAATAAATCAGTATTTTTATTACTTTTACTATTGATACGAAATGTATAATTTATATGTACGTTTTAGTTTTATTTTTTTATATTTCTCTTTCTGGTGACAGGTGCAACAGCAGTTGTGCAAGTTGAGGATACAAAGCTAATATCAGAGAGCTCTGATAAAACTGAAGAAGAAGAAATTGAGATAATGACCGAACCGATAGCAGGACAAGATATTAGACCTATTGGTTCCGACATAGAAAAAGGAAGTTTAGTTATCAATGCGCACACTATTATTGGTGCAACGGAGATTGGACTTCTGGCAGCTTGTGGTGCTAAAGAAGTTACGGTTACTAAACTTCCGTCTATAGGTGTATTATCCACGGGAAACGAGTTACAGGATATCGGAGAACCATTGAAACCAGGATGTGTTTACGATAGCAATAGGATAACCTTGATCACATTGTTAAAAGAGAACGGTTTCGTAGCATTGGATTTCGGAATCGTGATTGATGAGTGAGTACACCGAAATTTGATGTGATTGACACTCATGCGCACGTTACATTTACTCAATTTACACAAAATTTTAAATTTTAAATACTAATATCCCCATTATATTTTTCAGAGAAATTGTTTTGATATCTAAGATGCAAGAAGCTTTGCAGAAGGTAGATGTACTCGTGACAACAGGTTCTGTATCAATGGGCGATAGAGATATACTGAAACCTATTCTGAAAGAATATTTCAAAGCAACAATATATTTTGGTACTGTCTCATTTGATCACATATTGACGTAGTAGTTCACGTAGTATAGCATAGATTGTTAGAACACTATATGTGTTTCAGGTCGCGTAAATATGAAGCCGGGAAAACCAACGACGTTTGCAACGTGTACGTTTAATAATAGAAAAAAGTATTTCCTCTGTCTTCCGGGTAATCCGGTATCCGCTGTTGTTACCGCACGTTTATTTCTTTTCCCTCTTTTAAAAGAGATGTGCGGTGATTCATCAAAACCCATCATAGTACAAGCTAAGGTTCGTAAGATCTTCTATTTAAGTAGGAGACGCTGAAAGACGCGTATGATTATAACATTATTATCGCCATTGTAGTCGACATCGTCGTATAAATTGGACCCGCGTCCCGAATATGCGAGAGTGATTTTGGAATGGAATGACAACAAAACAGAACTGCCACTAGCCTACAGCACAGGAAATCAAATAAGTAGTAAACTACTTAGTTGCAGAGGCGCCAATGCGCTTCTAATGCTGCCGGGACGAACGGAAGAGAAAAAGATGTTGGATAAGGATGAGATTGTACCAGCGATGCTTATTGGATTTCGATAAATTTTGATGTTCACAACAGTTATTATTATTATATATTATATATTATTATTATACTATACAAGAACAGTTATTATTATTAAGGATTTGCATATGTTTATACTTTGTTAAACATTTGGGAGATGGTATATAAATAAAAAAATATATATGAGGTGTACAAATGAATAATCCAATTTTTTCAGCTACATTCAAGGTTTATTTTAAAAGAAAGTAAATTAAATTGTTCAAAGTATTCGCCGTTGCTTTCTACTTTAAGCCATCTTTCAGGCAGCTGATGAATTCCATCTCGGAAAAATGTTACGTCTTCGGACACGATAAAGTCGTCAAGCCATTTTCGGATCTCATCCACTGATTGGAAGTGCATATCGGACAAGGCGTGTTGCATCGACCGGAACAAGTGATAATCGGATGGAGCAATGTCTGGTGAATACGCCGCAAGTGCTGCAAGACGTCCCAGCCAAGACTCATTATGGTGTCTTTTGTATTGGAAGCAATGTGTGGCCTGGCGTTGTCATGCAACAATTTCACTGGACGTTCTCCTTTGCCAGTATACGGGCGTTATCGTTCCAATTCTTGACTCAAGCAGATTAATTGACGTTGGTAGCAGTCCGCAGTAATTGTTTCACCCGGTTCCAACAACTCATAATAAAGCACGCCCTTGATATCCCACCAAATGCCACCAGAGAAGAACCTTCTTTCCGAAGCGATTGGGTTTTGCGACCAATTTTGATAATTCACCGGGATTTACCTATGACTTTCTGCGTTTCGGATTGTCATAGAGTATCCATCTCTCATCGCCCGTAACGATTTTCCACAAGAAAGACTTTCGACGCTGCTTATTGAGAAGAGAAAGACACGCTGCCACTCGTTGATTTTTGTTGGTTTCAGTGAGTTCATGCGGAACCCATTTTCCTTCTTTCTGGATCTTTCCCATCTCATGTAGGCGTTTGGAAATCGTTTGCTGCGTTACTCCCAACTGTTCTGCAAGCTCTTTTTGCGTTTGTGCCGAATTCTCAGCGAGCAGTTCCAAATCATCATTATCGCACTTCGGAGGGCCTCCAGGGCGTTGTTTGTCGATTAGACTGAAATTACCGTTTTTAAACCGCTTAAACCAAAATGCACACACATCGTACGATACAACACCTTCGCCGAAAAAGGAATAAATCGATTCGTACGCTCTTGCAGCATTTTTTCCTTGTTGGAATTCGTAAAGAATGCAATGTCGGATATGCACCTTATCTGTTGCTATTTTCGACTGTACTGAACTGAATACTTTTGAAAGTTATGTTGGGCCTTTCGCCAAATTATATGTTCTTTTTAATAGCCTTTTTAATATGTCAACATTGCATAATCACAAAAGAGCCGGAAAATCTATTCAATTTAAAATTGATTTCATAACTGCTTAAAATAATTTGGATTATTCATTTGTACACCTAATATATAAAATTTATAAAATAAAATCCTCTAGCACAATATGTGTATGATGTACATATAAAATTTAGGGTGCACTAAGATGTGTGTGTGTACAATTTTAAAGAAGCGACAATTTTAAAAATTGCATGTGTCATTTACATTTCTTAAAAATAAGTGCTGCATTGAGTAAATGAGTGAATGCATTTTATTTTAATGCAGGCGTATCAAATAATCATAAATATATTACTTCTGACGATTGTTCAACGATATTTCGCTATCGCACAAGCGCGAAAATTATTCTCGACACTCACTTTCAGCGATAATTCGCGCACGTGATTCACTTCTGGCGAATAAAATTAGTGCGAAACGATTTGTCGAATACAAACTGCCGCGCCGCAGTTCATTTCGCAACCGACGAAAACGGCGACCATTACGATCTTGAAATTTAACGGTCGCGTGTACTGCATCCGGCGCTTCGAAACATCATTGCGACGAGATACTCATTTTTGACGACGATTTAACGATATTTTGTTACAGTGAACGCGAGAGACTTACTTTTGGCGTAGCTTGGTGATAATTTGTGACTTCGCGTCCATCGATAAGTCGAAAACTTAAGTCAGCTCGTTTGAATTCTAACCAGCCACAACAACTCAGCGAGTGCACAGACACTATTCGACATTCTCGATCGCGAGACGCTCACTTTTAATGATAAGTCTTCTATATTTCATCAAGAACGTGTATAATTTACTCTCGGCACTTCTGGCAATAACGTGGTCGCAGTCGGGATTCATCCTCAATGAATGAACATCGCGAAAACTCGAACGGCTTGTCGGTTACAAACTGCCGCCACTACTGCCATTCCAATTCATTGAATATTGCAACGATTGAGATTCTCGAATATCACCAATGTATTCGATATAACGAGTGGACCAATCACAACGACGCATTTATATACGACAATCGAGCTATCGAAGCTGGGAGAAAAGTTGCAGTATGTACTCCTCCAGATGTCGCACAGTGGCAGTTTACGTTACTTGACGACGCGTTTGAAATTTCTCTTCTCGCCGAAAGTGATTCGCGCGCACGGATGGCTACGAGGAGCATCGAATGGAGTGATTGTTTTGGCGCATTAATCAGTTCAGGTAAGCGCAATCACATGCGACATATACTTCGTTAACTGCGTCGAGGAATTTGTCGCGATATCAACGCTCGATATCAAGCGACAATTTCATCGCGGCAATTCTCGCGACGGCTCGAACGCGGGTTATGGCCGCTCTGCTTCGCGTTTCTTTTTCACATTTTCACGTGCCGAAGGTGCATTTCGCGCGCTAACGAGTATCAGGAATGCCGGATTGTGTATTTATGAATATGAGCGGAACGCGTAACCGCGCGTTCGTCGCGTTCCGCGCGAGTGAAATTAAACGTGATATCTTTCAGATGCGCTTAACCAGTGATGTTCAACGCTCGTGTCACTTCGATGACAAAATGGAGGGAACTCTTCCGCTTCTACTCGACAAGAAGTATGCCGTTGGATTCGGCGCTCGTATCAGGTTCACCTGTTTTTGGTGAGTTCATGATCGTTTTCCCTGATAGCACATGTTCTCCTGAGGACATCCTAAGGACGTCCTGAGGATGAAGAAATATCCCCAGGACGTCCTCAAGACGTACTCTGGACGTCCTCTGGACATCTGTGCTATTAGGATTCCTTGTTTCATGCAATGCTGCGTCGAAGATAGATCGCTGTTACATCGACGAGATTTTCTATAAAAGATTATCGAGACTTCAGATAGAGATTCGTATATGCGTACGAATGATAATGAGGTATTTTGCAAAATTATATAATTTATGGCGTAACAAATGCATAAACATTTATACGGAGCATTATGATAATGATAGATCACAAGATTTATTGCATTAGAGAAGTTAACAGTATGAATATTACTCCGCAAAATCGTTGGTCTTTAATAGTATTTCGTCGGTAAATGTCTTGTCGACAATTTTGCGCGGTGTATCTACTGTCGGCTACTTTATAAGTTATCGACGTATCCGAAATGTATATGGCCGAAATATATTGCTGTTTTGTATAAAAAATAAAACAAGCCCGTTAGAACTCTTTCGGCATGTTTGCATTAGAACAATTAACGCAAAACGTGTCTATTATCTCGTGAAACATAGTACTTTCTACGTAATTCTATTTCCACTGTAATTTCCACATTCACGACTTTTTGAATTTTCGGGAAATTGTATAGATTGTCGTTCAGTGAGTTGAAACGTAATTTAATCCTGGAAATTTTAGAGCAAATATAAACAAAGATCTGGGGATATAAAATTATGTAAGTTATTGCCTATGTTTTATATTTAATATTGCGAATAGAAGTATTCTACTATTATACGTACTCGTAATATAATATATAATAGTAATTTACTTTTTTTTACATTGAAACTTAAAAAGATTTGTTTTAGATTCATTTTTAATATCAGTTATCTCAATATTCTACCCGTATATAATGTTTTTGTTCTTAAGCGACGTATTAATTATATAACTCACTCGACTGCAGCTCGAGTAAGTGCGATAAGCACAAATTAAATAATATGAGTAAATAATAGGATTAACGAATGAGTGAAACAACAAAATTTCCTTCTTATTATCCATTTATTGTTATATATATATTTTTTTGGAAATTTCAACAGGGTCGGGAGATCGAGAAGATTGCAATTGTGTGTGCATGGAAATAGCGCTGTCCACCAGTGGGAATTAAAAGTTGGATGTGATGTGGTAACAACAATCCTTTAAATAGAAGTGAGAGAAAACGGCGTTGTGGAAAATTCTAGGCGGGACTTGCGGAAGATTTCGAAGGTACTATTTGTTTTGATATCTCGGACGCCGCGATTATGTGCGTATCATTGTTCCGACGGGCGATAACAGTTAGCGCTCGTAATCTCGCCCACTGTTTTTGCCTGTTTATGTTGATACTCTCGTGCGTCGTATATTTGTCCTTGACCGCGTCATTACGTATTGAGCCGAGGAGCAACGCACATACCGCGACGTGAAGCACGAATTCTCGAAACATTTAATCGGACATTTAATTCTGTTGATTTCCAAGACGTTTAATCGGACTCTCCTTGGTGTCGCATTCGTTAACACACGTTCCTCGCGATCGAATTGTATCTACGGGAGTGTCAGTGCCAGTGCCAGGATGGAGTATCTGGAGCAGCCGGGAGCAGAATGTTGGGTCGAGAAGACAGGACGGATGACGTGGAATATCGGGAGAAGGATACATCATATACTTCCAAGTATGTCAAATCATTCATTTTACTTCGATTTGAACGACGTTTAATAAACGTTGTCGAGAGTGAGGAGATATTCCGAATCGAAAAATTCAGGCTGATATTCGTAATTCTTCATCATTTGATAAATAATAAGAGTTTTTAAATCTCTGATCTTTCGTAAATATTTCGCATCCGTACGAATACACCATGAATATAGTATTGCAATTAATTAATTATTCTCTTGATTAAAGATTCTAAGTAATTTGCTGTAAATATGAACATATGATTGTAGCTATGAATATCAGTTTTCAGAATCTAATGTAAATTCCATATAAATCTGATTTTTATGTTTAATTATTTGGGACCAATCGTCCCATTTTGATTGCAACTGCTAATGACTTTTTTACCTTCGGTTTGTCTATTATAGTACCGAGCTAAATGTATATCTTTCTTGGTACGCAGCATTATTGAATATATTGTTATATTATTTATTTTTACAACTTTTTCCTCATCTGCGGTTAAAAGAAGATTATGGCAAAAAAATAATTTGACTTTTTTTACTGATACATTTATTTATTCTCTCATAAATTCTTGTCAGATTATTTAATATTTATCGCATATATTTTATATAATAACATATAATCAATACGCGTAATACATAATATATAATAAATATGATATTTATCGAGATTGAAAGTAAAAATCAAACGCTGGTAAAATATTAAGATAATCAGGTATTAAATAATTCTGAATTAAATCCTTCAAGACTCAACGTGGAAAATTTCGCAGTAACTATTTGTTGTATCCAAGTAAATTAATATAATTAAGTAGCCTGTACTTTGCATCTCAAGATTCTTCATTAGTCTTTCAAGTTCGATGGAACTTGCAGGTAGAAAACGTAGAAACTAAATTTCCACTCGGAAACTCTCTCATGAATTAAGATCACGCAACTTTCGGCCGTATGTAAACATACGCCGTTCACGGATCCATATTTTTTGCAGATTTTTTACAAATCGCTGATTTTACCGTTTGTCTAATTTTAACGCGTTCGGGTGTAAATACAAGCAGACACAAGTTGGCAATTGCTAACGCAGACTAGCATTATGCAAATGCATCGAACGAACGATAGTCGAGTGTATGTACGTGGTGGATGAGCAAAATCGCTTATTTGACAAACTTGTTCCGAAGCGAATTCGATTAGAGACTCTTGTTACACCGGGTGTTTTAGCAAAATGTAATCCACGAACAGTCGGCGGGTACGTGGGCGACAGCAATAATAATACGCGGAGAGAGTTCGTCGACGCGACATTTGTAGAGTCGGGGTGAACGCGTATCCCAGTTACGCCGTAGGGAGAGTTGGCACGTCAGTTCGTTCCAACAACCACCTAGAGGAAACCTAGAGCGAAGACTATGAACGCGCGCGTTTACAGAGCTTACGCTCGAGAACGTCGGCCTACAGTGAATATTGCTCCGGTTAAGTTACAATCGCGACCGTGGAAGACATCGCACGTTCATCCTCGACGAGGGTGGCTTCGTTCTCTTGAAATAATCAATATTGATATTCATAGAGTCCTGAATATCAAGCTACGGTCAAGACCGTGGTAGAATCGAAGTGATCTCAATTATCTGTGGATTAGTTTGGCAATTTTTCGATGTTTATGTCACGCCTCGGGGAGATTAAATTTTACTCTAGACACTCTCGAACGTAACGTAACGTGAACATAAATGTGACATACCGATTATCAGCGACATCGATCGCGTGCCAATGAGTGATAGTCGGAAATTAAATGACAAACTGTACACGCGAGATGTGGTAGACGTTGAGAGATACCATAATTGGAAACATCTCGACGAAGAATATTTGGAATCGTTTAGGGACGATGTACTAAATCCTCTCCACTAAATGCGCGGTTTACGTTATTCATTATGTTATTTCTTTGTTCGCGACGGAATGCTTATCTGCTTGATTACAACTATGTTGGCATACCGATGAAAACGATCAGAATGATCTAGAATTGATAACGAATAAATGGCAAGAAAATATTCGATATATGTAGCAAAATATAACGGGGTAAGTACTATTGTATGCATATGTACACACACACACACACGCACACAAATTCAGTTAATGAGTGCAGTTAAAAAAGATCTAAAATTGAACAGCACATCGAACGATGCAATTACCGATTAATTATCTCTATTTCTTCATTTTAAGTAAAAATAACCGATATATCGATAATGATCTCAACATTTAATGGTATGCGCATTTGCCTCTTATTTCGTCTCGACTCTGTATTAATTAACTGCACGTGCGGCTTTGTGCTTCCCACAGCGGCTGGGGAATTAAAGAGAATTGATAAAACCTGGTAATATATAGGTGCTTAATTTTGTAATCAGTATCTCTACGATACTCTCTGGCACGTTTTTCTAATGATAAAAGCCAACATGACATCTTCTCTGCGAAAGCGTTGCATCCTGCTTGTATAACCGCGCAAATTGTGCCTAATGCGTCTGCAGTTCCTCTTAGAGGGATTACTCGATTTCAATGACGATGTCGATTACGGTGACGCAATAAAACGGTACTTCACTTGAAGGGTTTCATTGCCGCTAGAGTCTCTTAATAATTGCTAGATTCCAATTAAATTCTCCGGGTACCGTCTGATTCATTAGCATGGCGGTGCGCCCGCGTCCTCTCTCTCTCTCTCTCTCTCTCTCTCTCTCTCTCTCTCTCTCTCTCTCTCTTTCCTCCCCGCGGCAGTTAAAATTATTCAAATCCAGAAGTCTCCAAAGAGCATAGGTAATCTTGCGAACTGGGAACTTGGGCCGCGGTAACACGTGCACTTTACGGATAATTGCATACGGGACTGTTCTCGGGGAAACTCTCGTATATCCTCCACCATGTACCATCTATCAAGGTTACCGCGAACATATCTAGAACCGATAACAGAGCGAGCACACAGCGCGAAGGATCCGATGTAATATATCTCATTATTTTCCCTTTCTTCATTTCCTCTCGCCCGTATGTCGCTCAGTTTCGCAAAAGTCAGGGAGTTCAGAGACGGCTGTAGACCACGGCGGAATTCGGACTAGCATGACGATGAAAAAGGGGCCGGCTTTACTTACCTACGGTTTCTCGCCGTCGGCGTCGTGCGGTTTAATATAGCCGCGCGACAGCTCCGCTAAAACAGTCGCGCTTTCGGTGACGCGAGATTTACGTCGCGACGTGTAATTGCGATTGAGCGAGAGACGAAGACGTCGCCGTCAAACAGACGATAGAGAAAGAGCCGAGGATTCGCACGTGCCGCGCGATATCGTTGTGACGTGACGTTACAGACGCACATCATAACGCGGGGTATTAACCGTGCACCAAGTGCGTTTGCGCTTCTCTAATGTCGATATCAGGGCGGCGCACGCCACTGCCGCGTCATCGCATCACACACACACACACACACACGGCCGTCTGTCTGTTAACGTCTGTTAACGACACGTTAGGTAGGAGACGAGCTTACAAAAGATTATGCTAAGTACATACACGCGATGCGCGATACGCGCATCTCGAAGTCGTCGAAATTGTAATTTATTCAGCGAATACTTTCTTATGTACGATGATCTCGTATTGTAGAGATGCGCGGATCACTCTCTCTCTCTCTCTCTCTCTCTCTCTCTCCCTCTCTCTCTCTCTCTCTCTCTCTCTCTCTCTCTCTCTCTCTCTCTCTCTCTCTCTCTCTCTCTCTCTCTCTCTCTCTCTCTCTCTCTCTCTCTCTCTCTATCTCTCTCTCTCTCTCTCTCTCTCTCTCTCTCTCTCTCTCTCTCTCTTTCTCTCTCTCTCTAGCACGGTCGATTCGAATCCTCTTTGCAGCGCGAAGTACATTCATCCGTATGTAAGCATATATGTACGTACGTACGTACGTCTTCGCTGATATACTACTATCCGTATCCTCATTATACACGCATGCACGTACACCTGCGATCGTGAGGCTTGCGTGTTGGGTAGCAACACGCACATATATACGTGCACAACGTGCACGTACGTGTGCCGATTAATAAAGGTCGCACGTGTGGAGCGAGGTGGGAACGGCGGAGGTATGCAAGTAGCAGCGGCTACGTCATGTGCAATTACGATACACGCGCGTACATACGTACATATTTACGTATGTAAATTGAACGCGCGCGAGACCGCGGGGCTTTTATCGAATCCCATTTAACCGGCGGGCGCTGTGCATTTGTACAATTAACGGGACGATATGACTTCCCGCCGAACTCCGGCGCCTGTTCCTAATTTCGGTCGGGTAACGGATCGGGCGACGATACATCCTACGCGTCTGGCGCGCGATCAGCGGTCAATTTATCACTATCGGATCCGCGTTTGGTACGCGCGAAATACGGCTGCCTTAAATTGGAGCCGTCGGAGTTGTTTGGAAAGTTCGCAGGCGCATTTCGTTCGGCCTCCCTCCCCCGCCGCCGCCTGTCCCAGCGCTCGGAACTTTATTGAGGTGAGGTGACACCCATCTTTTCCGAGTTTTTTTTCTCTCTCTCTCTCTCTCTCTCTCTCTCTCTCTCTCTCTCTCTCTCTCTCTCTCTCTCTATGTGACAGCCAATTTTGAGTCAATTTCGCGACGCTGAGGCGACTCTTTCTTGAAAACTGCTCGCACGGGATTTGGTGAAAGCAGCTGCGCGGATTTTCAGCCCCTCTGCAACCCCCCCCCCACGAACGCATTAGGGGAGTCAATTGTTTTAATGTCGTTTCGCTGCACCTGCAGCTGCACGATGTTTTGATGATTAAATGTGGCTGCGATTTAGATGCTAGGCGCATTTACGTCGCGCTGTAGCCGTGCTGTAATGGCTGTTAAGCTGGGAATTTATCGTCGGCTATTATCATAAAAATATATCAGCTGAAATGATAATTTTAAATCAGGGGAGCAATTGCTTTAAATTTATATCCGAGTACGTTTAGGCACAGGAGCTGGATTAATTGCTCAATTGTAGAAATTGTTGGTTGAGCGCCTTCGTCAGCAATCGCGACT